TAAACTGCCCTGGCCTCCAAGACAGGAATGTCCTAACTCTTGACCCATGCCTGGGAATGGTTTGCAGTAGTTGGCACAGGCTAAAAACATGCCAAGAACCATTCCAGCAGCTTACCATGATAAAGATGTCACTCCAATGCCTAGAAATGCCCCAGGCACAGCTCAGTTTGCTGGCAGAGACGTGACCTGACTCAAGCAGACACACAAGGATCTCTGCTCTGGAGAAAGCATCACTGACAAACCTGGACCACACTGTGTATGGACACTACATTTCAGCCTGCCTAGATCTGTCATTGCTTTGTCCCAGTATGAGACTGGGGAAGTGTGTGCATGTTTTAAAATAGAGAATGGCATTATTTGTGCAGGAAACCAAAATCACTAAAGGTTTTCTGAATTCAGCTCCATAAAAATCCTCCTATACTTTTGCATACCTGTCAACTAAGCTAATTTATGTGCAAATACTTGACCAGCTTTTCCAACACAAGTATTTCCAAAAAATATTCCTCTGCTTTAAAAAGGTGAAGTTTATCCCAGAGACTTGCAGTCTCAGTCACCTGGAGGTGCAGCACTGTACCCAAATTCTCACTGCAAGTCAGTAGCATAGCTCGGAACAGAACGTCCTAAACGTTTTCTGTCTCTTCTTATAACTTACAAGCGGTTTTATGGCAGGCCATTCACGAAGTCCTGAAGACACTGACGCAATTAAATCTCCTGAGAACATTTTGCTATAACAAAAATGGTGTCTCCATCCACATAACAGCAGGTGATTTTATTACAGTATTTAGAACAGGCAGAATTCTAGCATACCACATTTTGAACTCTAAGATATATTGTTGGATACTACTAGGAACAAATCCCCACTGTATTTGGCAGGAGATCTTTCTCCTCCTTGGTTGATATGCATTTATACAGTGGGTATACAAAAATAAATGTTATAGTACAAACCACTCACAACGAACTAAGCCAAACCAAGTTCTAAATACACATTAATTTCCCTGAAGAAGACTTACTAGTTTTTTCCAGTGGATGGAGGTAGCAACTGGATTTGGGAGGCAACAAAGAGACTAATGGAAAGTCATCCTCAGGGTGGGAAGTTTTAAAGTTCATAAAACACACTCAAAAAGTAGAATCTTTTTTTCCCCCCACCCAGTCTCGACCCATCAGAGGTTTTCTGTTTGAGCAAAACTGAGCTGGCTAGCCGCTTACAACTTGGAAAACTGTAATCTTCTCCACACAACCAGTCTCCACCCAACAATTGTACAAGTTGCCAAGGCATCCATCAATAGACACGTACATACAACCGTTAAGTATTTGCTTTTCCTACCACAAAAAAATACACCAAGCTATAGCACCCATCGTTTCTGGTAAGCTGGTAAGCATATACAAGAACCAAGAAAATAATTAAGTCTATGAGAAATCAACTGTTACTGTATCGTGGGCCAAATAGTCCCTAAGACCAGTTTAATGACATTATTACTTCATTTTGAAGTATCAGAGCTTCTTTGCTTACAAAAAATGGCCAATACATCAAGTCCCCAAATTGCATGTTTTTCATTAGGAAACTTCAGTTAAGATTCTTTTCTTCAAATCAATCAGATGTTCAAATTATTTATCATGTTTTGATTGTTTCAAGAACAGTTCATTAGGGCAGGCTCCTTCACTGAAGAGTCAACATTTGGGTTTGTTTTATTTTTAAACACAAGCATTTTGCACTGCCTTACAGTAAAGCTGCATTCTTTTAAAATACAGGTGACCAATAAATAAAAGCATTTTGAATGATATCCCACATCCATCCAATCCTTTACTACTGTAGCTCTGCTTTGGTTTAAGTGATTATTACAAGACCAGACTGTTCTCTCACATATAATGTAATACTGATTTAAAGGATGACTATCCAACAAAATCCTTTTCTGTGATTATATCATTAGGGAGATGTCACTTCTGGTGGTGGGCATCCATGAACACTATTTCCAAGCTGACTCCTTAATGCATTAGAGCAAAGCACCATGAAGAACTTCATGGCTCAATATAATCTTCAATTCTCATGTCAAGAGGCCTCTTGATGGCTTTCCTACCTCCTTGTTTGTGAGCCATAGGGCTGTATACTCTTGTTGGGAAGTCATGCATGCACGCAGGGAACATCTGGTTCATGAAAAACAAACTAAAATCCCAGTGAAAGTGATTACTTCGGCTTTAACATCACTTTAGTTTAAATAAAATCATATCTAGGTGACTATAAAACCCACATGTTTGCAAGATGTGTGGCTTTTCAAGTAGGTCTAGCAGACCTTGATCTTGAAAGAAGTCTACCCCTTTCCTGCCCAATCACAGCTCCCTCCCATTTCTTCAGCTATTCACTACTTCCAGCTTCTTCTCCTGCATTCATTCACAAAAACCAGCCACCTAGGCTTTTTAGAGAAGTGTCAGTCTCTTAACAGTATCTCAATGGTGCCTTGAAGCAACAGATGCAATATTTCTGATTTCAAAATGCCACTTCTTACCAGATCAAAAGGATCTAGGGCTTTTGAAAACCACACATAACTAGCTACATTTAAAGACTTCAGTAATAGCACTAACACTAAGCTTGTCTACCTGCCCTCACCCTTGCTGTTATCTTCTGAAAACAGAGCCCACTAAATCTGTGTTGAATTGGACTTCCAAAATGTAAGGTCCCTCCATAATCATTAAATTCTCTGAAAATATAAATCCTTTATTATATAAACTTTCCTTTTTGCTATCCCTCTTGGGCTTTTAAAACAATCTCTACTTGTGAGATAAGAAGAATCCCAAACGAGAACACTATGTCCTGATTTTCCCATGAAATCAGTCTTTGAGGACCCAGCCACCATGCCTCGAGGCTACTCTGTCAGGGCTTTGCCACCATGACTGCCACACTAACTCTGAAGCTCTTCCCACTTCCTTAGCTGAAAGCACACTTGCAGGCACACCCCATGTCAAAATCCTTTTCTTACTAAGCTAAGTGAACAACATCTGGAAAGCAAATGGAAAGGGATTGTTAAACTGGCTCCATCTCATCCAAATTACACAAGAAAACAAGTCAGGGAAATTCCCAACATATTTTTGTTTCTGCTCTATAATCTCAGCATTTAGGTATTTTAATATTGATCCGAGACTATGCCTGCAGGGCAAGATGTGACCTTTTGAGTTTAAATCCAGTGGTAAAGCATTCAAGCACTTTCATTCATGTAATGCTTAGCATGCTGCTCAAATGCTCAAGTTCCAAAGTTCTCCACAAATTCCCGTCATATTGTTGCAACAATACAACATTCAGAAATGTAACAGCCACACAATCCCTCTTCATAAAAATAAATAATTCTTAGATGCATCTTTCATTCATACATTTATAAAAATAAAGCATACTTGAATAAATACTCATTTCTCTAAGTACAAGGGCTATAGTCAAATACAGTTCAAAACGCTTGGATACATGACAAAGCAAATCTCTTTAAACATTTTAGTGACTTTTTTTTTTTTTAGTAGTAGTAGTATTCAGGGACCTGCAATTTCAACAAAATAACATAACCTTATGAGCAGCATCAGAAAGTAATGTTACAGATGATGATGCAAGCATCACTTAATACACATGAACTTCCCAGGATTAAAAACCAGATCTAACAATTGACTGCTAAAAGCCTCAGACTCCAGACAGACTTTTGACAGCTTTTAAAAAAAAAGAAAAGTTTCCTATTCACAAGCAATGCCAGCTCATAATTCTGTAAGCACGCTTTGGAAAATAAACTTGACTGGATGCAACCCCGAGCAACTCAATCTAACTTTTAAGTTGGCTCTGCTTTGAGCAAGGAACTGGATCTACAAAGCTCCCTTCCAGCCTAAATTATCCTGCAATTTTGACACACAAGAAGTTTTGCAAGCCACAGAAGAAGTCTGATTTCCCTGTGGAGCCTCGAGTTTCATGGTTGGATGCTCTGGTGCCAGCACGGTGGGAGGCTGAATTGTCCTGCAGGCTCCTTCCTTGGCAGATTGTCCTGCACCTACAAGAACCACGCTCAAACTGGAGTCTTTCAGAAGGTCACTAACAGGGTCTCTCTCCTCCACATAAGTGCCTGCTTCATGAACCCTGAAGGTGTTTAATACCTTCATAAGCACTTTCTTGATCATTCCTGTCAAAACCTGCCAAAATCGGCCAGCATTTTCCAAAGATACTAGTAAGGTTGAGACAGACAAACAAGAGAGGCGGGATAATCACATACACTTCAACTCTTTAGGGAACAATTTTGAAGAAAAAGACAAAGAAAGAAAAAGAAAAAAAAAGATCTCTACTCTCTCAACGAGAAGTGTTTCAAAATTAAGGGAATTCTCTTGCTCTCACCAAAATTAAAGACAAAAAGGTTTTCTGTGCTGCAGTGGAACAAAATAGGATCCTAACAAGTACACTGCTTCACTTACTACACTCTACTTTCTCTGAAAGAAAACCATCCTATTTTAGCACGGCATGTCCTGCAATAACAGCAGGGGCAGGTTTCTCTTGCGTGAGGACGTGAGGAGCCCTCAAGAAAACAGGGCAGTTGGGCCAGGCAAATTTTTTTTTATTCTCTTCACCATTCTCCCCTCATGCAGAGGGCCAAGTTCCCGTGTGCCCTCCTGGAGCCAGCCTTGTCCCTCTGGCACTAAGAAAGGCTCAGCCTGGAAAGAAGGCCAGGGACAAGCCTTTCAAAAGAACCTCTTACAGAAAGGGAAGAACCAGAAGGAGCAGAATCTTTCCCATCCTTTCTCTTATTCAGTCTCCTTCTTCCCAGCACAAACACCCTAAAACAAGAAAGTAACCTCACCTTGCCCAACCTTGTCAGCACAAGTCTTTACTCTGTCATGGAGAAGCACTGATGTCAGCAACAGTAGGTATTGTACAAAAAGTCTACTGTGTGCAAATGACCCAGGGCTTGGCAGTCCCCTTTTATGTCCACTTCTGCTGTCAGTTCACCCACAGGCCTTTTAGGGAAAGAACATAGTCCAAATCTGACCTGATTCCTTTGTGCTATCTTTTGTCCTTTCTTCCAGCGGAGAATGGGCTTGAGAGCAGGTAGTTCCTTGCCCTCTTTTCCTCTTTCTATCACGTGTTCCCCAAGGCTGTATGCAGCTTCAAATACAATTGGAGATATGACATCTTTGACTCTTTTCTGTAAAAGAAAACAAACAGCTATTTCACCTATGCATATAGGAAAGCAGATTTTTATATGCAACAATTATATATAAAATTAAAGTAGATTTTTATATTCAACACTGCTGGCAGGAAGCTGGCTTCTCTACTTCCTTTATTCTTCTCTGTGCCAAATGGGAATAAGCACATTATACCAAAACAAGTTAGAAGATTAAAAAAAAAAGTCAAGAAAAAACCTAGTTATTCTTTTGGGACCTACTCTTGGTTCCACAGAAGCAGGGGCATATTTGGTACACCTATAAATCAAGTGTTTTTCAATAAAACCAAGATGTTTTCTTAAAACATAAAATAAATTAGGAAGTCTTTCCACTAGAAGCAAAGAGCAAATCATCTTCATCTCTGGGGTTTCTAAATCCTAGACTTCGACCAAGGTGACCTACAGTGTGCTGCACTCATTAAAAGAAAAAAAAATGCTCCACCTTGCCTTGTTGCTTTGCAATATCAATGAAATGAATGGATGGGTAAAGATACCAATGTGGCTATAAAACAAGATTACAGACATGCAGGGGCAAGAAAAGCCATCTTCCAGCACAGTTCTGAAAGCAAAACTCACAGGTCCCCCCACCCTCAGCACAGTTAACACTTTGAGTATGTAAAGAAAATAAGTTTTTCAGTTTCTTTATTTGCTATATTCTAGGCTTCATACCAGATGTATTAAATGGTGCCACATTATTGGTCTGAAGGGACGAAAGGATTGCCTTTTCTTGTTGTTGGAGACCAAGCCACAAAACTCATACCATTTGTCAGAACATGTGATGCCTAAATCCAGTTTGCTGTATGAGGATAAAATGCTCATTGTGCTCTGTTCAGACCTGACTTCGAAAATCCAATTTACTAGAAAACAGAAGTGGCAAATGCTCTACCTTTTAATAGGCAAAGATTCCTCTTAAATTTTACTTACTTAAAAACTTAGCATGAATTCAGCTCAGATGAAATTGAGGCAATAAATACCATAAGTAAGCACAACAAATCTTCAAATGGACCAACTCTCAACTTCGCCTTGCATCAGTTAGCAGGCTTCTCTGAACACAGCCTGCCAACCACAACAAGTAATTGAGATGCAATGCAACTTAAATTGCATCTTCCAGATGTGGGAAACCTGGGCACTAACTGGCTTTCTGGCCACCTTGTCTGATCTGTTTCAAGGCAACCGTTTGCTCTCTCTAATACGTTGACTGGCCACAGGTCTCTGAAGTCAGACAAAGATTATTGGCTAATCAAATGCCCAAATCATCGGTTAGCCGGGTGAATAATAGCAAAGACCAGGTTGGATGACATTTTGCCCCCTGCATCTTGAAGCCTTCAGCCAGCGCGTGAATTCCCTCCCCCGTTACCGATGTCTGCCACGGCCCCGTGCCCAGCAGCAGCCCAGAGCACCCGAAATTTTAGACTGTGCATTGCTTAGAGCAGTTTGTGTGTTCTTGGTAATGGACACCAATTGACAGCGGACATAGTGGCAGAAGTGATGGCAGCTCTATGACCTCTTCCCCATCCCATAAAAAGGACCATGCACGCTCTGGGGCACTGCTAATCCCCTCAGCAGAAGAGACGCTGACGCCTTCAGCCCCCTCCATAGTCCCACCCTCGAGGTAGGAGTTGTACCATACTGAGATTACCAAATAACAATACTACAACTCACAGAAGCTACTAGCTTTGCTCTCACAGAACATCACGTGTATTAACTTAAGCATACAAGACTACAGAAGAGCATGCCATGCAGCAACAGTCAAACACAATAAATCATCAGGCAAATCGCCACCTAATCCAACTGTATGCAACCACTGTGTAAACATGGAACTATTAAAAATGTAGGGAGTGGGTTAAATCAAAATCCACCTATAGTTTTTCTAGCTCTGCTATTGCAGTATGGCAAGAATAAGTGCTTAATGACTTCTAAGTGTTTTAATATGATCTTGCAGGGTTTGGTCCCATGCCCTTTGAAGTCAAAAGACAAGTTTCCCATTGACTTCAATGAATCTTGGAGTGTGCCCATATTGTTCACTGGTGTCTCTTTCTGCTTCATTTTAGTGGTAAAATTGTGACTTCCAGCAGCTAGATTAATTACATGTGTGGATATTCCCTCACCACAGCCCTGGGGAAATATATTTCACATGCTCACTTGTCTTTAATTAAGGATGAAAGTATGAATGCTACCCAGTTATTAATTTTGCCACATGTTCAGTCCCTTCTGCTCACAATCCCACAAACACGAAGGCAGCAGTCTGTGGGATTTGTCCTCAGTAAGACAGTTCTGCCTCGCAGGTACACCACAGACTGTCTGGGATGTGAGCACGTAAAGAGAATAATGAGTATTTGCCCAAACACAATCTGGAAAAGTACTATTTTAGGTTGGAAATACACCCAGTTTCTTTCTCTTTCAGTCTACCTAAACGTACCACTTCCAGTCATTGAATCATATACTGATGACACAGCCCACAGATTGCTTTTAAGTATTCCTGATTTCTAAAAGGAAGTCAAAAGATGCAATGACAATCAGGTTTGAGATAGACTGAAAAATCCTTCGAGTCAAGGAAACTATGTGTTGCTTTTCATATCCATTACATGGCCCTAATGGAGTGGATTTGCCAAGGGAAAATTTCCACAAACAGCTTTTATATGTATTCAGTGTTTTTCACCATGACACTGCTATGCTGAGGAAGTGTCGAAAGTTAAAGACACTTCTGCATCATGAGGAAGCATCCTTGGCAAATCATAGCACACAGACAGCACAGCTTCATTAATGGAAAAAATGTCTGGAGGACATTAAAACAAGTGTAATATCCAAGGAGTTAACATTATCAACAGAAACAACCACGTAACAAGGGTTCAGTGAGTAACAGCAATAAATATCCAGTCTGTACAGACTGGATGTCACTAGACTGCTGCAAGTTTTCACTGTGCCTGAATTAGATTGGGGACCTGAAGCTGGGTTTCCCACAAGCCATGAGCTATCCCATGTAGCTTTCTTGTTCTTACAAGCAGTTTCTCTAGGGTGGTGGGCTTTTTTCTTTCTCTCTCTTTCAGACCAGATTTCATTCTGGACATAACAAACTTTTGCAACAAGGCTTTTGCAGAAATCAGTAGACTTCAGTCCCAGTAAATTACCCTTCTGCCAGTATCCCTTCATGCAATGGAAACAGCCCTAGTCGGCTGTATCCTTTCATCGGGATCTTTTATCTTTTCCTGTGAGGCACGTTGTGTGACATGACTCTGAGTTGAAGAAAAAGCTGGTTTTGTATGAACAAGCTGGGGTTTTATCAAGGGTATTACAGGATGATCCCTCACTACTATCTAGCAAAGGCAAAGAACTCCATGTCCAAAAAAGAGCACACTTTTAAGAACATCTAAGAAAGCAATAAGGCACTTAGAGATGTTTCAAAAGACACCATGGTCCTGAAAGCTCACCCTAACAAAGAGCAGGCTTGCCATGTCCTCCCCCAAAACAATCACCTCAAAGAAATATGCATTTTTTAAATGCTGTGGTAGAAGCTGGGCATAGCCACATATTTCTTCCTTTTTGTTTTCTGGCATAGCAGGGGAGAAGAAACCAAGCAAGCAAAGCCTCTGCCAGATTTATGACTGCATTTCTATTTGGCTTTAGTACCAAAAAGTCCTAGAAATCTGAAAAGTAATCACAGAGCGATGATCAAATGTCGGAGTTGTGATTCTGAACATCATTTCCAATTCCCTCTCGAAGATGGAGTTTATTGTAAGAAATCATTTTCCGCGGTTCTCATAGGCACAGCCTAAGGCACACCATGACAACACAAACACAGGCACAGATTCGAACATCCTAAAGGCACACTGAGTTGGCAGGCAGCTGCTGCCTTCTCCAACCTTAACTTTGTGCTACCAAGAGCCCCCACACATCAGGAACTTGGGCAAATTTGGATGGAACAAGAAAGGGTTTTAGTCAAGGGATTGGATTTACTCTGTTCATGGTGTGAGTGGTTGCCAGAGAGGACTGGATATCATTTCAGCTTTCTTTCAGCTCAGTGCCACGGTACAGTCAGGGGACTGTACATAAGGCAAATAAATCATCACATATAATCCACTTTCTTCTACAAGGTGAAAGTCTCCAGCAGGTGCTCTGGAGAGTGCCAAATTCCATTTTTAATTACGGCCAATGGACTGAAAAATAAATTGAGATGTAAATAATCCCCACAATGTACTGCAACAGTCCTGCAGGATAAAGGATGAAATGTGGTCCTTTAAAGCAATGACTATGAAGTCATTTTCAACAGCTTCAAGTGAGGAAACACAAGTAACCCTCAGGGTGACTTCTATGGCTGCCCTTTGCTTTCATCCTTGTTCATGTCCTTCTGGAGTTTCTCTCCTCCTTCTCTGTGGGAAAGTTCTCTGATATGTTGGGCCTTTTTTCTACTCCCTCTGACTTGATCCTGAGGACATCAACCCATGCATAGATTCCAGAACTTTTAGTGGATTCAGCACAGCTTTTCAGTACTTCTGAGAATCAAGCTCTGTTTAGTTTGATGACTAAGAAAGAATTCAAGAACCTAGCTTTTAAAACACTTGACTTGAAACTTTTAGTCTAAACGTATTTATTTCAAGTTTTAAACAGGCACTAATAATAGACTATATGACTTTTTAAAGCCTTAAAACACAAAATAAATTTGACAATCCTGATTTAATAGATAACATATTAATGCTCCAAAATGTATAAAAGCCATCGTGCTAATGCTAATCCAGCATAACACTTCAATCAGCTCTCAGGTCACTACCACATAAATCCTCAACTCAGTGCAAAGATATAAATAGTTCCCTGTTCAGTAATATAAAAAATGACTCAAATGTCCACCAGCCTTCAGAGCCAAAGGCCACTACTTCCACAATTTATCAAATGAAATATCAGCTGTAGGTCTTAATAAACATACATTATAGCTTATGAATCAATAAGATGACAGCACTTGACTTCAAAATCAGTTACCTTCTCCTATT